TGCCCCTCAAATTTTGCGCCCCAGCGTTAAAAAAAAATAATTATACATATATACCTTTTAATTATATACCGGTCTGGCAAGTGAACATGTTGCAGGCCAATTTCAATGCAAGTTTAAGGTTGAATAGAGAACGATAACGATTTTCCCTGTTCCACCTCCAGCATTCCCAGCGCTCCATGCTAGAGGTGGAACCGGGGAAATCGTTTTCGTTCTCTATTTGACCTTAGACCTTTCCTAAGCATTTCATTCTATTGCATTTAAATTGGCCCGTAACATGTTAACTTGCCAGACCTGTAGATATAGGTACATTTTCTTTTATGATATGACCTCGGATATTGCCAAAAAAAAAACTCAAAGAATATTTTGGAGTGATTGTTTGTTCCGTAGTGAAACAAGTTATTCTCAGCGCTACCGAACAATCACCTGCCTATGAACTTCATATGCCAAACATAGGCAGTCAGCCTTGCGAAAAATTATTCAGAATGGCCAGATCTATGACTTAAACCACTTCAACGTTCTCCACAATCGCCAATTTCAGCATGAAAAATTTTATGAAACCATTAGATAGAATTCGGACAATAAAAGAGTTCTGTTTCCTATACAGAGGAAAAAAACAGCTCATTTAAGTTCCTAGCAATCTGCTATTGAAATAGACGAACTTGAAAACCTTACTGACCACTATGGTTCAAGAAAACACTAGAGGAAATATTATTCCACCTGAAGAGGAAATAGACTCATTGGATATGAAAGATTTCTCCAAAAAATTTACTGAAGCTGATATTACAGAAAAATCTCCTTATGTTAGGGTAGGTAAAGCTAAAGGAAAAATATGTCATAACTGAAAAGTCCTCATTTTGTTGGGTGCTAGATGAGTCTTCGATTTCGAGTAAAGTAAGTACAGACAGACTCCGAAGATATTATTCCTGCAATAAAACTACCTATGCCTCAATCCAGACCAGCTAGCCGCACAAAACTAGACTCCCAAGAAATCTTAAGTAAGGACTTAAAGAGATAAAGAAAATTGAAAATTTTGTAGGGACTGAATTCACATTGAGCTCTACATCTACATCCGACTCTACATCTGCAGATGAAGTACAAATGAAGCATTTAGTTGACGGTTCTTCAGGTAGCGAAATGCATTTAGTAAAGAAGGTACTTCAAATCGAATCATCCCAGAAATCATAATGGAGAAATATTACGCTGTCGCCTGTAAACATCAATGGTATATTGATTGATAGATGTATTGGAATAGAGAACAACAAATATACCGACTCAATTTTTTTAAATCTGAGCTAGATTCTTTCACTTGGCTTAAGGCTGACGATATTGCTGAAGTAGATAAAGCATTTCATGGTCTTTTGAGTTATTATAGGTAACTATGTCCATTTCAACTGAAAAGAGCTGACTCATTATGCATTCCTAAAAATAAAAGGTCGAGCAACAGATTATGAGACAAAAACGTTTTGCAATAATATATCATGTTGATTTTTAACAATTATAATTTCTGCACATTCGAGTTTGTATTATTCGATGTATAATGAAATTTACCAAACGATTATACTCTTTCATTTGCTATACGTAATGGCCGATCTTTTAAAGACAGCATATTTTGTTTCAGTAGTATCGTTATTGCCTTGTAGTCATAAGTATTCATATGCATTTCTATATATTCTTGTTCCTATGACTTCCCTTGTATTCTTAAGCGTTCCTTTGTACTCCATGTAATCAGTGTCCTTTGGCTAGCGGTCTACCTCTCGACTCTTCTGCATCCATGCCTTTCCAGAGGGTCAGTTGTGATTAAACCTTTTATGAAACTGGCTTGCTCGATTGGCAGGTAGGCCATCCATGTATATAAAGGTCAAATTTTGATTTTTGTAAGCAACTTGTACAATATAACAGCAGACTGATTGGCCAGGATAAGGATAAGGATGATTTCTGCGTTTTTTTCAGGATTGTGGAATCTGTTAAAGTGCGTGATATGATCTTCTTCCCGAGCATTATACTGTCCTCTCTGTCCTTGAGTTGTTTCAACGCTGCCCCCTAATTCGCTCTTAACGAAGGGCTCTAGGCTCTACTTATTCTGGGCCTAGTTTAGGGTCGAGTTTTTCTATGCATCTTGCAGGAGTTTAACTTCGACAGAAATTCTATACCTACCAGTTTCTGTGATCCTATACTTCTTTCTGTCAACTTCTCATCATTGTTCATTCTACATTTTAAGTATATGATTGATTTACTTCTTGATCGAGTTGATTGAAGAAATATCTACAAGAAGATGGGATTCTCGAATGAATGAATTCTGTGTTTTATCCTTTTTGCTGTCTCTTTTGATGGCCTTCTTTATATCCTTGCATGCTTCTTTGTTCCTTATCATTGTTCTGTTTATATAAGTAGGCTAAACTTTGGGCTTATCAGCTTATTTGTCTTTGGAATGAAGAAAATCTTTCTACGACTATCATAGTACGCTTGAAAATTTGGCCAAGATCTGTTTCGGTTATTTTTTGAACAAATGTCGGTTGGTTGAAATTTCTTGTCTTATAGTTCAAATGAACTTTTCTTAGTCTCCTTCCATTTCGTCTGGAGCCCAGTATATTGGAGTGGATCTTATTGGATACGATCAGCCTATGTGGTCACTGATGCCCGTGTTGAAGTGATTTTCGTTTTCTTTTGTTCAATGTGAGTATTAGTATGCTATGATTGCTATGATGTTATTGATCTATTTCGCTTCAATCGTTTCTGACACTGCGCGGACTCCTCCAGGTCCACTTACTTTTTGTACAAGTTTTTCTTGAAGATGCTCATCCGATATGGAGAGATTCTTTATTTGTCATTTCATTCATTTGATCTATACTTATCTGGTTTCGCGTTCAAAGAACGTAATTAATGATAAATGAAATGTCTGGGAAATTTCGTTTGTAATTATTACTATGTAATACTAGCTATGGTCTCTGATTATTTACTTCTCTTGAGGACGGAAAAATCTGAAGAGATTTTGAAAATTGATTTAAATCAATTTGAATATATTCCTTAGTAATGTATATATATTTCGAAAATTTAATTCTTTTGCTACACATCCTACAAAAAAAACACACATAAAAGCAAATCTCGCAAGTTTTTTGATTAATTATCTAAGAAAAAGGTTGTCCTCCATAAACCATGCAGTAAACTTACTTTTTCTTTTTTATTAGAGCTATGTATCTAAGTATAGAGCCTCAACAAAAAGTTTGTTGAACCTATAAAATGTCCCCAAAAAAAGAATGATTCGATAAAGGAAAGTTTTTTCTGGAAATACCTGGAACAGTTCATGTTGAATAAATGTACGTATTTGCTAATGGACTTTCTAAACTAAACCCTAGAATAGAATTATCCATAATAACTGTAAGATTTCCAGGAAGTTATAAATAATAAGGTTTGGGGCAATATTTTCACTTCCAGACATAAAAAAAGGAAAAATTTAAAAATAAACACGCCCGAAGGATGAAGGGGACACAATAATAATTGCGATAAGACCTCTAATCCAAAATGAATTTCCGGTTCGTTTATCTTCTCGAAATTCGGGTGTGAAAAATCTAACACCACTATAAAAAGAAGTCGAAAAAGGTCATTGTTCTGCGATAAATCCCTATCTATCCAGAAACTTATAGGCGCGCCAATAAAATCTCTACACGTCTGGAATGCCAAATAGAGAACTGCATTAAAAACGAAAATAGACCCAGAGCCATCATGGTTATGTAACGACGTATGGTATCCAGGCGTCTAAAGGCAGAAATCAGATACAGATTTATCATTTCCAATATTTTTTTTTGGAATATTTAGCATTAAGTGAATGCCAAGTTCATGTTTATGTTTTAAAATGAATTTGGTTTTGGAATTTTAATGGAATATTGGATGAAATAAAAAAAGGGCCTCAACCCAGACATAGCAATAGACAGACGTACAATTTCAAAGTTATACTCGTACTTTCGACTGGCAATTATAAGTTAATCATTACCTATAAAATGGGGGGATATTGAAATTTTTGAAACTAAACAATAATCTAAGATAACACCTGAAAATATTGCTCAATCAAGGCAAAAGCTAATTTCTGACTAAACCTTGGAATTTTTCGGAATAGTGGCCATAAATTTCCAAGATTTATTTTATTTGGAATTCCATTCACCGTTAAAATTCATTAATGAATCCTTTTAAGAAGCCTTGAGTCAATTTAATTATGTTACTTTTTTCGTGGTTTCAACTTTCAACTCTAAATATTCGGGTTGGGTTCAATGGTACTTTTGGTACTTATAGGCTTGGGGGCGGATTCTATAAGCTCCAAGCGAAACAATGACGTTCGTTATGGGACGCTTTGTTCGGTTTGCTATTCTATAACCCCTTTCGGGAAGAATCGGGGACACCGATCACGAAGTCGATTGCAAAGCGAAAGCGATGAATTTTGACTCGCGTTTTGTTTCGCTTTCCACTGAAAAATTTCCAATTTCCACAGTGATTGGTCGATCATCGTCACGTTAGAGAATTACGGGTTATGTTATTCGTTTTGATCTTGACGAGGTTTTTATTATGCAGATTTTTGATTGTTTGTGCAATTTTAACTTTTCTCTGTCAAATTTAATTCATTAATTTATTTAGGTATAATTTCGACTGCAAAATGGAGAAAAAATCAAAAATGCATCCGTTTCAACCTCTATCTGTTAAACTCGAATCATTGTATAAATCTAAGATATAAACAGTCTTTTTATTCATTGTTTAAAAAGGACCCTACTATCTTCTCGCGTTAATCTGAGTTGATTTCTTCACTCGAGTTCGCTATATATCTACAACAAATTGTACCGGCAACATTTTTATCACACAATAATTTGAGAAATGCAATATAAATATTATAGAAAGAAAAAGGGGAATAATAAATAGGAATGATTAATTATGTCATTGAAGTTTCAAATTTTTAACATCGAAATTTGGGGTATGTTCCTATATTGGTTCCTTTTAATTTTCTCTTCTTTTTTTATAGTTTTTGCTCTGGGCTTATATACCTACAATGTTGCCATGATTATTTAATCATACGTCGTTCACACTCGTATTTTGTCGTGTGACACTGTGAAAACGAAGCGGAAGCGAAGCGAACACCTTATAGAATATCAACAAAAATCGACTTCACTATGGTTTAGCTTAGCTTCGCGATATACCTAAACGAAAATTACAAAATTCCCTAGCTGGTAGGTACTTCATACGAAATTGTCCAAATAATTAATTAGATGATTTTTATATTTTTGATAAAGGATCATTCCAAATAAAAATTATTAATACAAAATAATATTGTGGATTTCAGCAGCAGCAGTAGCAGCAGCTATTTTTAGAAAATAATTTGGTTGTTCAGAGTTCAGGGCTTGTCAGTGGAGTGAGGCTGTGGCTGTGACAATCCAACCTAACCTCACATTCCACTCCTTGTGTGCTTATCTCGAATCTGATTGTTGTTTTTTAAAGTTTATTTTGTTCCTGCAGTTAAAACTTTATAATTTCAAAGTAAAATCATGGTTAACAAATTAAATATAGAATTTTATAACACTGTATTAGCTCAAACTTTCACGCCGTGCGGAAATTATTTAGTCACGGGCGATATTTATGGAAATCTATCAGTTTTCAAGTAAGTTAACACCTATTTTGATTTGAATATAGAATAATACTTATAAAAAATCTTTCAGTTTAACAAAATTAGTCGACCCCCAAGAGAACCTAAATCAAGAGGCACGCTTACCGAAACATAAAATAACTGTACATGCTGATATACAAATTAACAGCCTTTTAACAACTCAAGATCATCTTCTTGTTGGCGGGTATGGAGAAATATTTGCTTATTCTTGGAAAACTATCAAAGGTAATAATTATAGAGAATATAAATAAATAGACCCATCTTAGCTTAGGAAAAGTCTCCTTAGTTTGAATTACAAAAATTTGTAGGTTTATCTACAAACACCCAACCAGTGTGGTCAATAAAACTTCCTTCGACTCATGAAAACTTAGAAAAGGCCGAAGTAAACTCTTTAGTCATGGATGAAGATTTGGGAAAACTTTACACAGGTTGTGGAGACAATAAAATTTACATTTATGATTTGGAAAGTAGGAGTACCCTTGCAGTTCTGATAAATCATAGTGAATATGTACATTGCCTACGTAAACAGTAAGTTGATAATATCAAGCATTTTATATACCTTCTTAATAATAAATTACTAACTTTTAGTGTAAATAATTCTCTACTTTCTGGTGGTCAAGATGGGCTTCTCAACATATGGGACTTGAGATTAAATAAAGTTATTGAAAAAATTGAACCTCATTTGAACAATCAAATAAATCGTAATAAATTAGGAAAATGGATTGGAGCTGTCGACTCTAATGAAGATTATATTGTTTGTGGCGGTGGTCCACGTCTGGCCCTATACCACACACGTTTCCTAAGAAACTGCACAATATTTCCATTTGATGACAAAGGCATTCATGTTGCAGATATTTCTGATGATAAAATATTTGCTGGAGGACGCTCAAAACTTTTCTATCAAGCTGATTTTAACGGAGATATTGTATCAGAAATTCAAACCTGCGGACCTGCAGTATTTAGTATGGTAAAGCAAGAAAAACCTTTTCAAATTATGTGCATTGCTGGATCGAGTCCTAAAATTGATGTTTCTATGAATTTTATGTATAAAGATCAAAATCTTTCCCTATATTAATCAAGAAGAGTACATTAGACTTTTTATTCAAATTTGGATGAAATGAGGTTGTATCCTCGGTTGTATCTGAGTATTTTTAATATAAAGTATTTGAATGTGCATAGTTTTTACTTTCTCTTGAAATAAATTTGATACAAAGCAAGAAGGGACTAGGGAGGTACTCTAATTGTAAATTCATTAGGACAAGTCCAGCTATAACTCTGTAGACAGGCATGAATCCATTTTGCACAAAGAAAAAACATTTCCTTAATGCTGGTATTAAATAAAAATATTTTTTTCCAGTTCCTATATCTATTATTATTAGCCCCATAGAATGTTAAGTTTTTTTTATGGCTCAAAAAGCAAAATGAATTTCCTCAATGTACAGTTTGTTGACTTCTTTGACTATATGAATAATCGGTGAGATAAAAAAAAATCTCTCAGTCTGGGGGCCTATGTATTTTATTGGAACATCAAAATGCTTTCAATATTCTTTTTGACTACAAAGGATATCGTTAAAAAGCAATTGTGCCAAATATATTTTTGGAAAAAAATATTGTTCATATTATATCCAGATGGAAATATTCAGGTTAAATATAAATGTATTATTTTTAAATCAAATTCAAACTGCATTTAACTCAAATAATATTAGAGAGTTTAATAATCTTCAACTGAAAAGTTAAAAATAGATTCTAATTATCTTTTCACCAAACCAATAATATTTTTTTTAATTAAACCCGAATTACAATCCAAAAATATGAATAATTGGTTACTTATCGGGGTTATTGTTACATATTTTCTCTCATTTGGGTTAATTGTTTTTCCTGGTTATTACTTCATAAAATGAACTGGAATCAATAATTTTATTATTTTAGCATGTTTGCATATAGTTGTTTTCACTCTGTACACAATTGGTTTTTCCAGTGGAAAAAATAAGAAATGTGATAGATAATTTAAAAATTTTTATCTAGAAATTCGTGACTTCATCATGACCGAGATGATTATTATTATTATTGGAATTACAATAGCAGGCGGTCGAAACTGATGAAGCTATTGTTACTTTAGAAAATTTTAACAGGATATGTGAGATTTAGTTAATCCACCTTATTCTTTCTGAGTATTCTTTCAATTCTTTGTCAACACGATTTAAAAAATATTAGTGTTTAGTGCTGATACTGTATTTTGGCAAAGCAAATTCCAATAATTCACTACACGGTTTACTTAAAAGTTTTTCCTAGGTAGTTTTGATGATCTTTCCCTTTCAAGCTTCTTAGAATAGTCGGTCGAAGCACGAAGATGAGGATTTCGACATGGATAGAAAATTATCAGATTACACTGATGGTAATCACTGGTTATTTTGTAGGTTTCAATTAAATCGCCTCTGTGCCTTCTTTCTTTAAAGGATGTCAAATTGGCAACTGTTTCAACTGTGGGGGAATTTTTGTCACTCTGCACTTAATCTTTTCAAGAAGTTCTATATCCTTAATGTAATATGGATTCCACACAGTATTATCCGTTCACAATCCGATGTCCACAGGTACAGGTAAAATTTATCACCTTTTAATGCTATTTGATAGGGAAAGGTGATAAATTTTCCTGTACCTGTGGACATCTGATTGTGAACAGGATATATGAACATTCTATTTTTGGCCTTATATAGCTTTTGTAAAGGGTAGATAGGTATCATCTCGATGGAGTGGTCTCTAAACTCTAAAGGCATGGTTAATTAAGTATGTATACATAGGAGTAAGCTCTTTAAGTTATTTTAATTATGTGATTCTCCCACTTCAAGTCAGTTGTTACTACAACTCCCAGATCATTTTGTTCATTTCCCGATGTCAAAGCACGAGGCATTAAGAATATAGTCTTGGTTAGGGTTATTTGGGCCAATCCTTAGTACTGTGCAATTTCATTCCCCATGTTTTTGACCACTCTTCAATGTGGTTAAGATCAGTTTGAAGTAAATTCGCATCTCTCAAAAGATTTGCATAGATTTTTTAAACATCTGCAAACAATTCAACACTTGATTGAATTAGTTCCACCAAATCAAAACGATACGCTGTGAACAGCACCGGACCGATCACCGAACCCTGCACGACGCCACTGGGCACCCGTCACCCTATGGGTACTGGAAAGCTCTCCATTAGCTCTCACTTGAAAACATCTATCTTCTAGCAGATCCTTGATCAAGGCATGCAACTTTCCTCTAACTTCAAAGTGCTTCACTCATAACAGGTTATGTGGAACTTTGTCAAATGCTTTTTTATAATCTAGATAGATAACATTTGTTGGTAGGCCATTTGTCCAATCATTTAGACATTCCAAAAGATTGATAGTGGTAGAACGTTTTGGTAGAAATCCATGTTGGACTGAAGGTATGAGATTGTTCTCTAGAAAGAAGGATATTAGTTCCTTAACTATAATTTTCTCCATATATTTCAGCGGGTTACAAGTAAGACAATAGGGCGATAATTTTTTGGTCTATGTCGATCTCCTTTTTTGTACAGTGGCGTGACAATGGAATATTTCCAAGGTGCTGGAATTTTTGTATGAAGTATACCTTCCTGCATCACCCCCGAAAGCAATGGGCTAATTGTGGCACTACAGTTTTGAAGAAAAACTGTTGAGATTTCATCAGGTCCTGGGCTTGAGTCTGTTTTCATACATTTCAGAGCTTTTTCTACTTTATCAGTTGTAAATTGTATTTCTTCGATAGACCTCTCCACTCTATTGTCATGCAGGGCTGGAGCCGGATAAGCTTCAGTTGTAAAAGCTGTGTCAAATTACTCTGCCATGGCTACACCATCGAAAAACTGCTCAGATGCAGGATCTTTTAAAGTTATGGTTAATACCTTGGAGTTCAAGTTTCGACTTATATACTTGAACAGTTTTTTTGGTAAATCCGCATTCACAAGACCATTTTTATTTTATACTTTTTTTTTACTTAGCTTTGTTACTCTGTAATATGTAATAGCTTGGTAATTGTTTACAGCTGTATGCAACATCCTCTTTTAACTTGAAAGCGCTTTTTAAAACTGATCACTTTTAAAAATGTGTATTCTAAGCCATACAAAATTTTAAAGGTACCAATTTTGAAAAGCGCTTTTAACTTCAAAGAGGATGTTGCATACAGCTAGCTGTTAGTGTTTTACTTGTTTTATAGTTATCCCATAATCTACGTTTCTTATCTATTTCCCTGGATAAATAATGGTTTATCCATGGTTTTTGTGGGTTAGTTTTTACTGCTTGACCGGTATGTATTTCTCCACTGCATCTCTCTCTCATAACACACTGGAAATTCTCGAATTGTGGATCTACTTTGTCTTGTTGGTTGGAGTCTGATGAAGTTATTTATTTCCTCATAATTCAGTTAGAAAATGTCTTCTAGTTATTTTTTTGTGTTTGTTTAGGGGGAATTTTTTATATGTGTGCACCTTAATCACCACATGATCACTGCGGCCAATTGGAGGTTCTGTAGAAAAATCAAAGATGCTTTTAGGATCATTAGTGAGAAAAAGGTCCAGAAGTGATATCTGATTATTCCTGAACTTTTTTGGAAAATTTACAATTTGATGCACATTTGTTTCAAGAAGTCCATAAATTCCTTTGTTTGTTTGATGGGTAGTTGAAGTCTCCCACAATATAAATGAGGTGGTTTCGGGTGTAGGCCTTTTTATAGTATTTGTCATAAGTCTATTACTCTATTGACTTCCTCACTGGTCGTAGTACCTAGCCTATAAATGCATGCAAGGGATATTTCTATACTTCCTATTTGGACATCTGCCAAACTGCATCAATCGGTGCTCCCATTCTGTAATTGCTGGAGATGCTACATTTTATATTATTTACACCTCTTTGGTTTTCAACTTATACACACACCCCCACCTTTTTGGTTTTGCCGGTCTTGACGGTATGCGCAGTATACACATCTAAATTAATCAAGCTATTAGGTACACAAGCTTTCTTGCAGCCAAGTTTCTGTAAGTAATATAAAAGTGGGATTTGACGACATAACTCTTGCTTTCCATTCATCAATTTTATTAACCACTGAACTTAAATTACTATACCAAAATGTAACTTCAACCACCCCAGACATATTTAGTTTTTTTTTTTTCAATTTTCTCGAAAATTTTTGATGTCCCATTTATGTATTTTTAGAATTAAATTTGTTTTACCCTCAGCCTTTTTTTTTCAGTTCAGTAAGAACATCCATTAAAAACATCCTCTAGGCCTATTTTTGATAATTTTTCATACATATACCTGATGCCTAGTGATGTAAAATTCCCGAAACATTCAAAAGCCGCGAACATTCTCGGAAACTTTCCGGGAATATTGGAAACTTTCGGGAACTTATGGAAATATTGTATTTTTTTAAAATTTATGGCTAAATCAGACAAATCGTAGTACCTATTATTGTAGTGTACTGACTATAGACTATAAACCAAGAAAAACACCTATTTTTTTCTGTAAGATCAGCTAAAAATTAGCTATGTAGTAAAAACACTTTTATGGACGGTTGAATAAGGCTTTAAAGGAAAAGCTGATCCGATTAACCAAATTTCTCAGCTCTTTATTTTTTATCTTTTTTCAATGAAGATTATTTTGAAAAAAGACAAACTGTAGGTACATCAGCTGATGATCGGGTAAGAAGAAGAAGAACTGAAGGAGGGTCCCACCACCCAAACCCACCTTTGCCTCTGATGGAGGGCAAAGATGCACCTCGACATTTAATTGCGATTCCTTCAATGATCCCATAAGCCATGTATGTTATATTTGAGTGTGGTCCTTTCCTAAATAGGGGTAAAAAAAAACCCAGGCGGTACCTAACGTACAAAATTTAATAAATGAGCTTTAAAATAAGAAGTTCAAATTATATTACTTAAGAAGCTTTGCCGTGGCTTGTGCAAACATGAGATGATCGGGTAAATCGGATCAGCGTTTTCGTAAAGACAGTTAGACTGAGCTACGTCATCCACATAAATTGAACTGACGTCACTGAGACCTTGTATTCGCAATAATCTTACATTTTTATAAAATTCTTCTGGAAAGTTCTTGGAAATATTCTTGAAAGTTCTCGGAAATATTCTCGAAAGTTCTCGGAAATATTCTTTTGAGAATTTTTGATTGAAAGTTTCCGGGAATATTCTCATTCAGGGGAACGTTTCCATTTTTTATCAGCGAATATTCTCGGAAATTTCCCAATGTTCCCGAATATTCGCATGGGAATATTCTCGACTCACATCACTACTGATGCCTATTTTAAAAATCAAAGTTTTTCAAAAAAATAGAAACAAACTACATGTAGGTACCTACTGAAACTCAAGATGAGTCGATGAGAAAACATTGTCATTCTCTCCATGCATAATAAATATTCCACGGTCATTGGCGTGGGTCATAAGAATCGTCATGAATTTTGTCATTGAAATTAACTAAAAAATATAACAATAAAAATTTATTTTTGTCATAAATTGATACGCTCAAAGTCTAGAAATACATAAGTCAGGATATTTACTGTTCGAAGGCCATACTTAAGACCTCAATAAATTCGCAAATAGTTTATTATCTCAATTTGTAGGTCAAAGCTAAACTACTAATAAATTTTGTATTTTTAAAAAGGAATCGTACC